TAAAATAAATAGTATAAAATTTTTCTTCTTATAGAGTTTGATATAATTTAATTTTAAATTAATTAAAATTTAATATAATTTAAAAAAAGAGAGAGGTAATAAAAAAAATCGGAAGAAAAAAGCTCCAAATGAAAAAGTGCTAATAAAAATAACACTGTAAAAAGAATTGTACAGTCTCCCCTTATACGGACTGCATGATTATATGGATAATTGAGGGTTCCGTGAATGGGTAGCCTATCTCCCCTGTAATCAATGGTTAATCTTTTGTGTCGGACAGCAAACACGCACTCTCACTTTGTAAGTCCTCTCTTTTTTATTCAAAATTAATTGATCTGCCGGTGTTTGCACGGTTCGATCTCTTTTGTTCGGCGGCTAATGGCTATATAAACGCCCCCTGAGCGCCTCTCTTTAAAAAGGGAAAAATTCCATTTCTTTTATCCTAAGAAATCAGAATGCACCACGGCCTCACCGGCAGCTCCGACTCTGGCTCTGGCTCCGGCTTCAAGCTTGCTGGAAGAGGTCCTGTTCTCCCTCTACCATTTTTCTATCAGCTTAATTTGATGCATTTTTGGGCAAATTACACGGTTTTAGATTCAGTTTTGCAGGTGATATCGATGTAGTTTTTCCGTCAGTGATCAGACGCAAGTGGTAGCGGCTGGGTCTCCGGCAGGAGCCGGAAACCCAGCATTAGATTTCCGTTGTTGCATATTACAGTTGCCTTAGGCTAGCCTGGCTGGAGCATATGAGCTCAATCCGTACCAGACTCAGCCCTAATTAAGGCTTAGATCTGGTCATGGGCGGCTTGGGTTCATCTACTCATTCAGGTTAGGCGCAGCCGAATCGTCTTGAGAGAGGGAGCACTTGCATCCACTCAAATCTAAGACAGATTCACAAGGAACTGCCTTTGTTTTTTACTTTGTTTTTTTCTTTGATCTTCTTTTTATATATGCCATGTGTATTTTTCGATCCTTATCCTTTTTCCTTTTTGTTTAATGCTAATATTTTGTTGGATTACATCTTTGTCTCTCCTGAATTACTTGCAATTTGTTAATTTCTGCCAAAGAATACTAAAAGATTTGAAAATTATATTTGTTGGATGCAGATGAGGGTCGAAAAAGGGACAACAATGATCATAAGAGAAACAAACGCCCATGGCTTCATGTACATACATCTAATATTGCTGTTGATTTAGCTGGTCTATAAATATTTTTCTTACAAACTTTGATATATTGATGCTTTCCTTTCAATTAGGAGGAAACAAAGGATGCTCGGAAGAAGCTGAAAGCTGCAAAGGAAGAACTAGCTACCAGCATGGAGTTGCTAGAAGACCTTGAGTCTGGAATCAACCAAACAAGGGCGGAGAACCATCTCGTGCTTTGGGAGATGGCGCTTCTTGACGCCCTTGTTGAAGATTTCTTGGATGATATCGATACCCAAGGTGATTGATAGACAAACCCTATCTTTTAAACATAGGGTTGATCAATAATATATCCATATGTATGTGTGTGTGGTTGTTCTCATATGTGGAGAGTAAATAAAGTATACAGGCTGCGCCTAAGTTTTTGTGGAGTGCAACAACAATTTAGATGTGGATTTGAAAGAAAATTATTGGAAAAAGAAAAAAATAATTAATGAAACATATGTTCTACAGTTTATGTTTATTTCGATGGCCGTGTTTGATTATGAATTTCTTCTCTTTCTCTAATTAGTTAGCATTGTAATTTTTGTGCAACAACATATATATAGTCAGTTGAAATCAATTTGATTATAATGATTCAGTGAATTCTGATTAATTTGCTCGTATTTCAGTTGAAGAAGTTAAATTCCCTTGAGTCTAATTATTTTGAAGAGAAGGAAAAACACTGATGAGATCATTGAGCTAACTAGCCTGCTTTCTTCTTCCAGCGCGCTAATTGAATAAGCTCCAAGAAGCTGGGGCTAGCTGATGCATGTTATATCATGCGTGCAGAATATATACTTATTCTTGGTTTTCGGTTATTACGCCATTCTTTCATGCATCCAATTAAATTCCAATAGGCATGCTATTGCAAGATGATTTAGTCATCTGATCACTGTCTAAATGATTGAATGTCATCTTAATCGCTCTCTGTGTCAAAAACTACATTTTGAACGTTACAACTCTTATGCCCCTCTTCAAATGAGTTTGTCTAAAGAGCAAACATCTAGGCTTTTTGTATAATCCACACATTGGACGCGAGGAGCTAGGATGGATATGTTACTAACTATTTCTATGAGACCAGATATTTTGGCACACTCATTGGTTGAAGTACATTTTAGAACACAATATAGTGAAAACCAGAGAAACACCTGGCCTTCTCAACCTAGTAACTTTGCCACCTTTGATAGGTGCACCCCTAAGTCCCTTTGGATTAGGTTTGACTTCCCCCACCTCCAATTTGTAATTTATTCAAAAAAAAAAAAAAACAAAGAATAGAAATAATGATTTTTTTTTTTAAGGAAGAAAGTAAAAATAAATATATTAATCCTTTATTATAAAGGAAATGATACATATTTTCTACAAAGTTACACACTCTGTTATATATTAACGATTTTTATTATTTGTGTCATTAAAACTAACAGTTTTTGTTATTTGTGTTATTAAAACTAACAATTTTCGTTATTTATGTCATTAAAACTAATTATTTCCGTTACACACTGATAGAAACTGTCAGTGTATAACGAATTGTGTAGTTATGTAAGGGGTATATATCATTATCCTTATTATAAACTTGTGCACCTTCTATACCTTTCAGTTATTGGAATTTAGAATTCTATCACTTTGGTTTGGCCTTTTTGCCCTCAATAGTTTTCTTGGTACATGCAGTAATGGGTAGTCAAAATTTTTTTGAACTTCCATTATCTATTATCTAACTCTTAAGACCTCACTTGAAATACCAACTCTCAAGATCTTAAAACAAATATAGAATTGCCAATTAGTAAAACTTTTTATTGGTTGAGGACCAGTTAATAGTTGTTAAAAAACCATAAAAAGAAAGAAATTATAGTGAACAAGTTAAAAAACCACAAAAAAAATAAAAAAAACGACCAAGTTTAAAAACCAAATAAAAATAAATGAGGACTAAACCTAAAACCCTAAGAAACAAGGGGCCTAATAGACAATTACCCATAAAAGATGTCCATTGGGCTGAAGCTGCAGGGTGATTCTGTTCCTCATGTTTTGTTTCTTTTGGGGATTCAATGTAGGGCAAGTGGAGATGTTATAAGTAGTAATTGTCAACGATAAGGCATGGGCTCATTTTGAGGAAAAGAAGAAGATCGCCTTGCATCCGAGATGATTAAATAAAGATGCTTTGCTGTAACAGCTAAGGTGTGGTCAAACTTTGGCTTCTTGGTTAATCCCAAATTGTTACTCCTTCTCCATTACCCGTTTTCGAAAAAAAAAAAAATACACAAATTGTTACTCCTTCAGTTCAAAATAAAAAAAATTGTTGCTCCTTCTTTTCACATTATTAGTCCTTTTCAAAGTACAAGGATTAAAAAATAATAAATTACTTTTAATTTTAGGGATAGAGATGTATTTAAAGTACCAAATTGTTATTTTAAAATTCATTTTTTATTCTCTATTTCAAAACTGCAGATAATTAATTGTTGGAGGTTATAAAATGGGAAGATAATTAATTAATCCCGTATTAAAAATTAAAAGTGATTATTAAAATGAGGGTTTGTCTATGTATTAATTATACATTTTCATTACTAATTTGCATGAAAAAAAAATATGAAAATAAATTTTATTTTCAATACCAATGCTATATGAAATATTTTAATTAAATGGTTGATAAAATTAAAGTTAATTTTTATATTATAAATACAAATTAATAATGAAAAGGGATAATAAATACAACCTTAACTTATATTCTTAAAAAGGAGTAGATTTTAAATATGGAACTTGTGCCCTTAGCTATTAATGCATCTTTTAACCATTAAGTGACATGGAAAATTAAAAAAATAATTTAATATTAATTTTAACTCTCATGCCATATGTGTTAATTTAATTAAGAGTTTTTCTATCTTATGTGCTTAAAATACAAAATAAAAGTGCATTTATTACATCTTTTTATCATTAATATATAGTAAAACTAAAAGTTGATATTAATTTTACCAAATATCCAATAAAAAATATCTCTGTGCCATAGATGTTAAAATTAATATTAACTTTTTTTATTTTTTTATGCAAATTAATGCATAATTAATGATAAAAAAAATACAATAAATACACCTTAGAGGATAAGGATTTAAAGGATTTTTCTAATTTGTACTATAAATATTTTTTATAATAAATTTTATATAAAAAATATAAAAATAAACATTAATTTTAGAGTTAATGTCACATGGATAAATTTAATTAGATAGTTAAAAATCCTTAATTAAATAATTGTTAAAATTAAAATCAACTTTTATTTTTTTATGTAATTTAATGAATAACATTAATTGCACTGCACAGGTTAATTTAGAAAATCCTTTTTTTTTGTTTTTTTTTAACAACAAAAAATAATATTTATTAATAAACGGAGTACAAGGGATACTCCGAACCCATAAACATCATAACTTGAAAGACATCATATTACATGAGTGGAGTAACCTTTCGTATGGTGTCGACCCCTGAGATATGATGTTTAGAACTACTAATTTAGAAAATCCTTTAAATATATAAGTAACGAAGCTTAGCGGGATTAATACTTAGAATTTAAAATTTTTGATTTGGGATAACATTAGTAGTTCAAATTCTTGTAATGTTGTGGAGTTATAATAAACTCCTGATTAACAAAAATTAAAATATAATTGTTTCACCCATATTGTCCTTTTAAGTAAAGTGTGCATTTATACTAGTAAGGATTTTAGTGCATTCATAAGAGAGTTGGTGTTTGCATTCATATTTTGGTTAGATATTAATTTTCGTTTAAACTTTAAATTTTGATTTTTTTATCTTAAACTAATTTAAACATTTTTTGTCATTTTTTATTTTAAGTTGTATAATAAAATGTAACTCTCTGTTATTAATAATTTTATTTTACTCACATATTATGAGATTCGAAATTAAAATCTCTTATTTTTACTAATAAAAAATTAATTACCACTAAATTATTTGCATTATTTACTTGTCCATTAAATTTTAGATGTGCACAAAAATCCTTAATATAAAATGTGCACAAAAAATATCATTCTCTAAATTAATTCAAGCACTTTTTTTGTTAATATAAAATTTTATGGTTACCACAAGGATTAAATCAGTGCAGGAACCAAAAAAAAAAAAAAATGTATAAAGTTAACATTTTTTCTTTTGCATTTTTTGTCTTGGTATATCTGGTGTGTGCTTTGCCGCTGCAACGGACCCGGTTATCCTGTCCCTCTTATCTTGATGATTTGACAATATCATAATAAGAATTTTTTTAGTTGGAACTTCTTTTTTTTTTTTAATTGAAATTAATATATACTAACTTTATATATAAAAATAAATATTAACATTAATTTTA